AATTGACAGATCGGTGTAGGTGCTCATGCGGAAGCCATAACCCGTTCTGTGCGCTCGGAATTTCTAACGGCATTAAACATCATCCGATAACCATCAACAACCGGGATCATATATTCCCAGCTTCCGCCAAGCATGTTTTGGCACCGGGGCTCACCAAACTTGATATATCCGACTTGTGTGTGTCTACCATGAGAGGATTCCTTCAAGTTTATGACGCCTACATGCGGGGTGCAATGTCACAGAACATATCACACTAACACCTTACACACACACATTCGCGAGCGACTCCGATCTTTTCCTGCATTTTATCTGAATACCGTTTCAATGGTACGCCAGAACATTTGTCCATGCATGAATTTACCAAAAATATATGTCCATAGACCGCGATTCGCACAGAAGTGAATCTTAGTCAATTCGATCACTGGGACGGTAACAGATGAAGCAACATTCATTTGCCTCGTCACTTACGGTCCCGGTGATCGAATTGACCAAGCTTCATTGCAATGTGAGTCGCAGCTCCGTATCGAGATTACGCTTCGCAATACATTCACACAAGAGTGCTTCAAAATGACCCCATCCAATCAGTCATTAACCGTGTGGACAAGCGTTATCCGTCACGACTTGGTGTCCGGAGAGGTAGAGGCTCTAACTAACATCCCAGTGGTTTCGGGTTCGAGTGCCTGAGGAAATCAGGCAAGTTCGAAACCGATCGTGGAGTGCCGTGATTACGTGTGGGTTACACCCAATAGCCACATGTATTAGCTAGTTGGTTAAGCAACGATGCTACCAGTGTTTGTGAATGTATTAAGCACATTGAGAACTGAGAACTGGTGCGAAGCAGTGAGTAGAGGTTGCTCTGTGTAGCTGCATCATTGGTCGTTTTCGGACATGAACTCTTTATTTATCGTTTCGCTCTCTGTACTTTGCCTCTGCAAATTGTCGGTCTAGTAGCATCTTGAATTTAGACACTGTGTTGGCTTCTACTATATGCTGAGGCAGGTCGTTCCAGACATTCACCACTCTGCGTTCGAAACAGAGTTGATGGGCGACCCGCTTCAAATCCGGGACGATAAGTTTATACCGGTGTCCTCGCGTGCAGCTTGGTGTGCGCAGATGATGTAGTTGTCTCAACATGTTGAATTCATTAAGAGAGACGGATAGTGTCTAACTGTTGATGCTTCAAGACGTTGCTTACAACTGGTGGGAGGACTGAGGGAACAACACGGAAGTTCGTCATTCAAGGTTTGGCAGCACAGAAACCATATCGGAACGAGCTGTTCAGAACCACCTACACCGTGTACGCCATGCCTACTACTTTAGTGTTCATCTCTCCTTCACAGTGCGCTCCATTGAGATCCAGAGAAGCACACCAATGGTACAATAATGGAGCATGAAGATACAAGCCGATAGGTTGGGTAAAGCTGTTTTTTTTGACTGGGGTTTCGGAACTGACTTTAGTGGTTCACAGAAACCCTACCGAAATCAATGACGATCTCGCAATCCAATCTGACACTCGCCTTCTGTTCATGGTTTCTAAATTATCGCGATTTATTTTTATTCACTGTTATAGCCATTTGGGTGACATGAATCGATGCTGTCGGATCTAGCTTACGGATCAAAGGTGATTATTGAACAGTCGAGGTGAGCCAGGACATCAGGAAGTCACTTTACTACAAAACCAGCTGTACCTTGTCAACTCGTGCAAACAACTCAACATAACATTACAAGTGATTCGTGCAACGAAACTGTCGGTCATCGCAACACAGCCGTGCTGCACATCCTCTAGTCAGCCTACATGTGAAAGTTGTCGGCACAGTCAGCGACAGATAGGAAACACCGGAAACGGTCTTTCATTACATTCGTTTGTACATGCATTGGAACGTTGGTCGCGCGAAGTTTGTTCGCGTGCAGTCTATTGCTGCCTGCTAACCCGTCATCAAGACGAGTTGCCAAATACTAATAACGGATATGAAAGCTGGAACTTCTGATCGGCCATCCGTCCCATTACACTTTCGTGCTGGCAGGTATGTTCTAAGTGACAACTACACTGACTCCTCGATTCTTCGCATCATGTCCCCTTGTTTTCCTCACCACTCTTGACTCGAGGCGCTTTTGCCAGTCTTCGTCACTTGTCGCGTCGGCGACACCACTCTCACTCTGAAGGACAGAGTTTACAACACAGCTGTCCGTTCAACCCTCCCACGCGGTTGCGAAACCGGGTCCATCAGATCGATAGACCTAAAGAGGCTTGTTATTTCGACCATCACTGCTTTCGCAGTTTAGCTGGTGGGAACACCGTGCGAACCGTGAGCATGTTAGACGTCGTGCACTTGGTACAAGAACACCGTCACTTCACTCACCAGGCTCCCATGGCTGTCGCATGTAATGCATGCCAGCACACCTACTCTTACGATGTGTTGTCTGCGTAACCGGGAGCTGGATGTAAGAAGGGAGGCCAACCGACGGTTTGGAAAAGAGGAATGAATACGTTCAATTTGAACTTCGCCCCGGACTGAAATCCCAAGGACGTTTGGTTGGATATGCTTGTTGACATAGCCAGGAGCCGACCTCAGTGGTGTTTGTGTTGCGAGATCTTGTCGCTATTTCTCTCCCGCTTAACCTCACATTCCAATCACGATCTCTCGATGTGCAATGAAGAATAGTTTGCATCCCGTATTTGGTATGTCGCTAACTTATATTTTATCTAATCGTATTATGGCTATTATTTCTCACTCCCAGCTAACGCGCAGGACTATGATGGTAGTCCCTCTTTCGCAGTCGTTTCGTCATTTCTATGGTGCTTATAATCGAGCTCCCGGTGTCCGCTTCCTCGAAATCTGCTACACCGTATTAGCCACTGAAATGAGACGTCACGCTCCATTATTGAATATTTCGTTTCTGCTTCCATTTTTTGATGCTATTTAGAATGGTTGTGTTTACTTACTATGCCTATTTTTCTTGGGACAAGTTGCTCTCGAAGATTTGATAATTATCTTTCCGCGGAACATTAGGATTTTCACCTCAGAATGTCTGCACTCTGGAAATGCAAACAGCCACAGCGATCAGTGTCGTGAATTATTTACCCAGGAACCGAAAATCACCGTATGCATCCATCGAATGTCTGCACTTATCGGGAGATTACACTTTATGACACCCAAATCACCTTTCCTTTTCTGCTTTGTAACATCGCAAAGCTCTTATGTTAGAATTTCGTTGGGCTCACCCAGCCATACATTCGCTATACGGCGACTACGCCAGTAATAACCGAACCGTCTCCAAGATATAGATGCCAAGTCACAAAGAATCAACTCGGAACACTGATGCATCTACTGTGTACGTTGCAGTGAACCCATGGAGCTCTCCTCATGATATTACTGTATCTATCCATTCAAGCCGCAGTGAACCACCTGAGCTCCTCGGTTGTTACGTCTGTTACCGCACAAACAAACACTGACACTAGTTGAGACTCCCTCAGGACACCAACACTTGGCGACAACTCATATGACTTGCCAACATCCACCTTTCACCATAGTTTATGCATTACACTGCGATTCTATTGAACTATAAAAGTGAAGGTGTAGAAGACATGTATTCGCCTTGGCTGAGCCAGCAAAACGACTCCTGCTAACGGTCAGTCATGCTTTCTCGTTCGGGTCTCAGTGCAGTAATGCTAGGTTACGCGTGATTCGTCCTCAGTCTCAGCTCGCCTGTACGTCTGGCGGCTAGTTCTCGTCAACCCGCAACGTCCCGAATTCGATTGGCTGCTCCGCACACGTCGGGTACTATCCGTGAAAAAGGTTAGCCCGTTACGCCTAAGAGTAAATAACTAGGACGCGTTATAGCAGTAAGGGACCTGGAATTTCCTCGAAATGGTGAATTGTGCTTGAAACCATATCAACGCAGTTATCGAGATGGTAGCTTTTGCGCCCTTTAAGTCAACAGCAGTGTGGAAGAGGATGACAGACAAACGAATCATGACCAGCCGTGGAATTGCTGGGATACATGACGTCAGAGCAGACATTCACGGCTGTCACGCGATGTCACTGAGCAGACGACGTCACACATGCTAATTAAAATCCATCACAGATGGATCTATAATCGGACAGACATCAATATCTGGAAGATCAGTAGACATTCACATCCTTTCTGGATTTGCTGAAAGTACTTGCTGAGACGCTCGCAACATTGCCTCAAAACCTATGTTGCCTAAAAGCTTCTGTGCTACAGCGGGCGCCGGTGACGGGGCTGCAGACCCAACGCTACCTTGTGCAAAACATAGCCAGCCACCTTTCCACGGTGTCTTCCAAAACGTTGTCAGTTGATTCCCTTTTTGTATCATAGGTAGGAGGGAATTGAGCCCAGCGGGGATGCAACCATTGTACAACAGCTTCTGAGTGGTTGTCATTATGACTGAAATCTAAAGGTAACGAATTCCATTCAAATCATCGAAACTTACCCATTACCTCCCACGAACACCACGTAACTCATCATTCTGACTAGTAAACACCACATCCAGCTGACCCAAATACGAAGCACTCTCCTCAATCATGTACGGAGATTGATGCACCGTGTGTCGAGTAACAAACAAAGCCCCGTCCAGGCAGAAAATAATGGGCACAGTTTGAGTAAACCTGAAGTCAACCATACAACTCATTATCCAAAATACTACTTATTATCGTCCAATGCTTAAACCACATGCTAAGATATAAATAAAGTCGACGTTTCAGTGAAGAGAGCACAAAAAGTAATAATGTTTTGACGCTACCATCAATCTATATCTTCGAAAGATGGTTACGGGATGGCATCTCAAAAATGGGAAATGAAAAACCAACCAGAGAAAATGAAAGTCAGTGACTATGTGCAAAATGAAACGCGCTCGTGGTCTTATTGAGATGGAGGCAACAAAGGGTGAAAATTACATGTAAACGACAGCGGTCATTGGCATAAAGACCTTAACACAAACAACAGCGATGGAGAGTGACCCGTACTAAATGTTTCTAGGCCAAGTGTGAAGACGACGATACGCTCCACATCGCAGCGATCCCGCAGAGTGGGCGTTGCGAACTTCTAGGGCCAATATGATCAGCTGCAACGCTGTTGTAAAGTCGATACAAGATGACATTTTCTCACAAAATCCAACATCGATCGGCATGACTTTTCAACCTCAGTCGTTTGCGTGGGCGAAAAATTTCCAGATATTGTATTTGGCGTGCGTTCAATGCGCCATCGCGACGACTGTGCAAAATAAAAAATACGTGTGGATGGGCTTCAAAGAAAAAATGAAGAGAAACAGGCCAGTGGTCGCGGTGTTAGGACAAAGAGTGCACCAGAAATGAGTCACCAGAAACCACCAGGCAAAACCTTGATCATACTTACCGATTGCTGTTATTTACAGTTAGCTGGGGGTCTCTTCCTCCGCGCACATGTGGCTACCAGCAATAACTCAACCGGTACTAAGTCAAAAGGAACGCTATGCCATCCGAGCCTGGATAAACTCAATTAGACGGTGATCTGGTCGGAGAAGGAAGTTGGGTGTGCAACAACTGACCCAGCACTTCTGGCACGTAGCGTGACTGGATTGCGACATGCTGCAATACGAAATGCATGTATCTACCAGTGTTCGTCTTCCTCCCGCGCTTTTCGAAGTTTTGAAGGGAAATAATTGCTCTAAATCTCAGTATTGACTGCTATGAACGTGATGAAGCGGATTTCTGTTCGTCCGGTCATGTGGAATCGTTTAGTAAACAAATAAATGTTAGGTGTACATGTTCGCAACGCACTGTACTCCACCAACCGGTTCCGCGTATGTTTGTGCACGGTGGCGTAGAGGAGTACAGGTGTCAGCAGATTGGGCAACCTTGTGGTGTCGTGCCCCTTGAAGAAACCCTGGATTTCTGTGTTGGGTTGGGTTTTTTTAACGACAATTATACCTTGCCTTGTTCTTCATGGCTTTTGACGTCTCTATACCTTAGTAGCACAATATATATATATATATATATATATATATATATATATATATATATATATATATATATATATATATATATGAAAACACCTCATGTATGATGATAATCTCCAATAAAAATGAGAGGCATATAAATGCGTGTAATCGAGACTTCAGCTTGAGTCACGAAAACTGACTACAGAGCGGTCGGTTGAAGGGGGAACTACAGATTTACTCACCGACCAATTCGCCTGATCTGCTTTGGCCAAGATTTCGATAAGGTTGTGATTGAGTGTCCTGCAGCTGCTAGAATCGAGGCTTAACGTTAACCCAGTACGGCTTCATGAAAGGTAGCTCATGCATCACCACCAACTTGCTGGTGACGCAGCACGAGTGGTTGCAAGCGCTGAACCGGAGGGTTAGTCTATTGATTCCAGTAAAGCGTCCGATAAGTTGAACCATGAGGTCCTCTTACACAAGCGGAGGGTTTCCGGTGTTGGTAGCTCAGAGCATCAGCAACTTTCTTATTGGGTGGAAGTGGAGGGTGTAGCAGAATGATCATCTAACCGACTGGTATCCCTCTATTGTTGTAGTGTCCCGAGTCACAAGACGGGTCCAGTTTGTTTCTGACCCGCATATCAACGGACTATCTCAGCTTCCTCGGTCGCCGGGTGCTTTGTACGCGGGTGACCTGAAGATATGGAGGATAACAGATGCTCAAGACGACTGGGACGTACCTCGGCATGACCTCTATCGCCTGTCTGTAAGGTCGGTTTGCAGATGTCGATCTGCCAGTCAAGTCGGTATTTATAAGTTTAGGGAAGGATGATGATGAGCATTCGTACAATCTGGCTGGCCTACCGCTACATTCCACACTTTCCGAAGTGCCTAGACGTAATCAGGGCTGCGGGTTGAAGTCCGTGGACAACACGAGCACGCTATAAGGAAACGGACTGTTTTGGACGCTCAAACACAGCTTCTGCACTTGGTCTGAACCGATTGTCTCTCACTTCCTCACTACAATTATAAGACCAATCTGGAATAAGGATCATCCGTCCATTGCCCGATCACTCCTGACGCGGTGCAGAAACTGTAGGTGTTCAGAATGTCACTACCAAGCTCATCCTCAAGCTTGTGATGTACGACGTACGAATGTGGATGCCATAGACTGGGACTTTACACCTCATCGTATTGCCGGTTTCGAACGGACTTCAAAATGACGAACCGGATATTTCATCTAAGTGACTTCATTATTCTGAGGCCGCTTCTGTACGCACGTGCACCAAGCAGAACTCGCGAGCACCGGTACAAAACGAATATCTCACTCCCACAAACTCAGGATGTGCGGTGTCGGTGGCTCACTGCAACAGTGGATCCGCGACTTTCTTGTTGAAAGAAAGTGGAGGGTACAGGTCGACGATTATCTAACTGACTGGTATTCCTCTACAAGTGGCGCATCTCAAGGCACTGTGTTGGGGCCCACTCTGTTCCTGATCCACATCAACGATCTACCTAAGATTCTCTGATGGCCGTGTGTCTTGTTTGCGTATGACGAAGATTTGGGGAGAAATGGACGCTCTCGACGACTGTGGCGTACTTTGCCAAGACTTCAACCGCCTATCCACATCGTCTGCAGGAGTTCATTTCTCGGTCAACGCAGCAAAGCCTGTATTTCCGAGCCTGGGAAAGAGTGCTGACGGCCGAACCTACACCCTTGACTGCCAACCGATATATCCCACACCCTCCGTGAAGGACTAGGTGTACTCTCGCGCTGCGATTTGAAGTCCGTGTACAACACGAACAGGCTATATCGTAACGGACTGCGCATGCTTTGGGCGCTCAAACGTGGCTTCGATACATGGTCTGAAGAACTTGCCACTCGCTTCTTCTCTTCCATCATTAGACCAATGCTAGAGTACGGTTCGTCCGCCTACTTTTCGATTACCCGAGGCAAACGAGTCCGGCGTTGCCAGCAGGCTCATCCCGAGTTTACGTGGCTTGTGGTATGAAGTCCGGTGCGAGAGACTAGGACTCTACACCTCGTCCTACCGTCGGGTGCGAGTCAACGTAATTATGACTTACCGGTGACTTCCCCGTGCTGAGACGAATGCTGTACTTACAATGGCCATGCAGAACACGCCGACACAGATACAAACTTGTGGTACCGATGTGAAACGAGTTCCCCGCATACGGTGCTTCGAACGAAGCGTAGTACATACTCGGAACAGTTTGTCTGAACATGTGATTGAGGCGACATCTGTGCAGCAGTTCAAAACGTTGTTAGATTTATATTTCACCACTATTCGACTCAGAGAACAACTACACATTTACGATGACATCACACATTTGTGAATCCTGCAATACCGTGAGTCAGATATTTCAAATGTCACATGAGAACGATAACGATATTCACGGTTGGCAATTTTTATAACGTTTCTCACCATATTTCGAAGGAGTTGTACGGAATACCTTTTTACTTGCTCAACAATACAGTAATCAGTATTCATGCTTCGGACGTCAGGTGGTGCAGCGAAGACACCATAAAAACCGAACTCGAACGAATCAAAGAAACGCTTTACGCTATCCGGAGCGATTTATCGAGTCCCATATGAAGTGATGCATAACAAAAGTGTCAAAACAAACTGTCGAAAAGAAAGCTTTTCCTGACTCTTTCACTGAAAGGAAATAGTGCGGCCGAGATATGCACGCGTTGACTACAGCAAAGATGCAAAAAACCTTTAATGCGGCTCAAGTGAATGTGTTTTTCACGAGCAGACCTTTAATAGTTTCGAGATTCAAAGACCGAGTGCCTGATCATCTCTAATCACTGTTAATCTACCGGCTCATCTGCCCTTGTGGAGCCAGGTACATTGGAGGTACGACCATGCATTTAGGTAAGCTAATTAAGGAACACCTCCCAGCTTCGCTCTACAATCGCGAAAAGTGGACAAACTACAGCGCGAATACCATATTACCTAGTCAACACCGGGCACCAGATAAACAAACTGCCTTTCAGGTTCTCTGCAGAATACCGCCAATGCATAACCATCGAGTAAGAGCAAGCCTACTTGCCACCGCTGAGGCAGTATGCACACACCTGACAAACCCGGACTTGCGTGTCCAGAAGATGGCACAAACACTGTAACTTCCGTGGCCGATCACCAGACGAGAAGGAAGTGATGGCACTCCGCAAAACCACCTGACTTCGATCATGTGATCAGATGACTGCCATCATGATCACAAGTTATATTATCTGATCAATTGTTTCTTCGTTATGTTAACGATAGCAAGCGACCTTACCCTAACGTATTTTAATTTATAAGCTTGACGAAGATTATTCAAAAAATATTGTCCTGAACTTGACGTAACAAATGGGTATTCTGCAAGAGTTGAATGTTGCGACTGTTTGCCTGACACAGTCGAGGCGAAAACGGTGTCGGAATTCAAGAAATTCCTGCAGGAACATTTTTTCGGAAGGTTTAGAGTGAAAATCGTTACCTTTCCATAAGTTTTATTGAGGCTACGGTTTGCTCTTGAATCAAGAGCTTCCTCAGACCACAATAAAACTTAGAAAAACGATTAGCATTCGAATTTGTGAACTCCCAGATGGTTCCAAGCGTATTCCTGGATGCACAGTTTGCGGATTGTAATTCGAGAGCGCATCACACCCGAATAGGACATCGCGCAGCCGAACTATGCTGATACTGCGCGGTAACAAATAACGCTGTTCCGCGTGTGTGTACCCAAGTTACATCGATAGGCCAATACAGATGTATGTCTTTTGGCTCCGTACGTTCAGTGTTCCGGGAGTTATGTCTGGAAACTCTGTGCAACAGAATTCACAACAGTGGGGAATTGCGAAACGCGTGGAGACAATTGTGAGAGGCAGGTGATTAAGTGAAGCGTAACCCCAGGTATCTGATGTGGTAAGCAGCATACAGAACAAGTGGACATCAAGATTGTAGTTAGTCCAGAAAAATGGCGCATAAAAATGCACTCAGTAAGGAACTTACCCGGGAATTGGTAGACCTCCAAATGTGTATTCATGAAAACTAACACTGGTCTGAGGTTCGATGGATAGATCATGTGTATAGAATAACAGGCAGTGGGAGTGAAGCTGGTCAAGTGGATTCGGTAATGAAGATAAGTAAAACTGTTGTCCAAAACCTACTGCTAACAAGTGGGATTTCTAGCAGTGGATGGGCTAGAATGAATAAAAATAACTACCGTCTAACGGTTTCACAAAGACTTCACATTCCTCTTCAACGTCCGGATCACTTCGTTTTCGTAAGTTTAAATTCCGAAGAACTGAATCTCCTGGACTAGCGATTGCGAATGGTAATATGCAGATATAATGCATACTGATAAGAACTGTCCCTAACCTAATGGGAAAAGTGATCTGCCAAATCGAGTGGCTGCCGAATAGACGAGGGAACAAATACTATGATATACCAGTCCCGCGGCAATACTTTGTGTAACAATAAGTGATGCACTATACTTTGTCAGGTGATCTACATCAGGAGTCTTATTGACGCTAGGACAAGGGTTATATCAAATCAGCCGAAACATTTATCGCTGTTCAAGTCTGCCAAGAAGTAACCACCACCACCACCATCACCACCATTTTTTCGTAACGGTATCATTAGGCAAGGACCAGATTCTCCGTGCACCGTTACTTAAACTGCATGAAAACTGCCATGGTAAGAATATATTCAATGAACCAACACAACTCTAGAGTCACTTTCGACTTTCCGTCCTCTGACCATTTCGGGATTAGTGTGACACTAGCGATCAGACAACGCCACAGTGATGTGCTCGTTTCCGTGAAGGAAATGAACCAAAAATGACAGATACGTAACGGAAAGTTTGGAGACCTAGGGAGTATCTGCCAATGTACAGGATAGACATGCACGGTTACACTTTGATTTTGCTCCTCACGGACTAATGACAAATGAAATCGAGTTGAAAAATGTTAAACATCACATGCCCATCGCGACGGTGCGGAAGGACTGTGAAGCGTCATAAGGATAACCGACCGCCCCCGATTTCTAAAGTTGTTCAACTGGCAAGCGCATCAGCTCCCGATGGCGAGCTACCTCGTACACAAGGGCAGCCGGTCAGCTCACCATTAGACTAGTACCAGTGCTCACCCATGGGGTGCAACATTACACTACTAACAGTCTCATATAGCATCGCCTAAGGAAGTCTTCAAGTGTAGCGTAAGGCCGCAATTTAGAATGATGTCAATTCGCACGTTATCAATTACTTGGTACAAACAACTGGAGACACACTGGTGTCACTTTCCTGGATCCAGATACCATGACAGTTGAAGAAACGGAGGCTACTAGTGAATGGACTGAAAAACATTATACAACAAAGTATGAGAACCAAAGTTATCCCGAAGTACTTACCTGCGAATCAGTTCAATTGCCTCGTCATATTGCATTCCCAGTTCTATTAGGGCGGCCGCCACTAACGCGGGAGCTCTGAAATTAGAACAGTCAACGAGAGAATACTGTGTACTTCGTGCAAGAATCCATCGACAATTCATGTTTCTCCTATGGAGTTCCGGTTCTTACACCAGACGTTTTATTTCAAAAGCCCACAACTTGACGACGGTGGTACACCCATGACTTCGTAACAAGTTAATGTGGCCTCCAGCTGGTGGCCAAAAGGACAATGCGTCTGTCTTGCAATCTGGAAGTCGCGGGTTCGAGCCTGCGTTGGGGACTGACCGGGTGACCCTCGCAGTACCTTTAGCCCACGCGCGACTGGTGATGGTTGCGTAGCGGCGAAGCGTCGGTAAAGCGTACCGGCGTACTGCTGGTACCTATCATTTTTTATCGTGAATAAGTGATTGGCTAGACATTAAGCGAGCTTGATAGATAAGAATGGAAAAAGCCGTTTTTCGATGGAGTAAACCACAAGTAACTGTGCCAGCGAAAGTCAGTGAGATAAGTAACACAGTGAGAAATCAAAGTTGAATTTGGATAACCCGCTGTGTGGTTGGATTGTGACACGCAATCTCTATTCAGACACCGATTCACTTTGTAGTAGACCACAGTAGACTTCAAAGTGAGCCGAGGTCTCAATAGAGGTTGCGTGTCAGCCCCACCACACAGCGGTTTCTCCAAGTCCAACTTTGAACTCGTTTCCGCTGTACCAAGCGTTGCTCGCGGATCTCAGTGGCATAGTGTTTATGGCGTCAGTCGTAAACCACTAGGCTCTGAGTGCCACCCCAGCTCAGGCTATCTCCACCTGATGAGTCCAAACCAGGACGGAACCGCGGTCGCACGGTGTCGGTGTTGAGAGGAGCAACACCGAACCACCTCCAGTTCGAATATAGTGAAAAATCGTTAGTAACCAAAAAATAAGCTGCATGTTTAGTCGGTAGGTGACGACGCTCGTTTAGCTCTTAATAGGCATTTAGGACTAAATGCCCAAATGGTTCACATTCACCCGGAACTATGGGGAGTAGTGTCTATACAGGCATCGACGGAGTTTTATTAGTTGGAAATGCGGAGGACCTATTCCGGAGACTAGAATGATCAAAAAAGAAAATCAGAACCGCGCTGAATAGCCAGTGTACCACGGACGTCTATAGTAAAACACACAAAGGAATGTAAGCGAATGCAGCTTACCTTCCCAAACCAGCCTTACAATGTACAGCAACACAGCAGCCTGGATGAGAGTGCCATACTTCGCCCAGCAGTTGAAACCAATGCTCAACTATGGGATCTGGTGGGGGAGCCCCATCCTCAAATTCCAAACCCTATGTGGAAAAATAGAAGATGAAACTAACAGAGGGAATAATGAATCGTCAGGTAATTCGTGGCCGCATAGTGCATCAGGGAACAAAGCGGCAAGCCTGTGGTGCACCTTTGAGAAACGGTAATAAATATACTATAAAAATGTCTAGTCAGATTGAGGAGATCCATCGAGATTCAGCAAAGATTGTCAGTTAAAAATATTAAATTAACGTTGGTGCTAAAGATGAGAAAAATGCCCATTAAGATGCACGTCATGTGTACTACGGAATATCTAGGATAGTGCCCACGACAGAAAAAGTTCCCTAGTTAGCTGTGGAAAAATCAAAACTACACATCGTCCAGTTGTGTGAACATAATGAAAAAGTCGCTAGAGCTATCGAAAAACTGTATTAGGAAACCTCAAAACGGTCACTAACCACAACACGAATCCCAGCGGCCTCCAATAGTGTTTCGTCATAGGTGGATTCGCAGACGCGAACCAGTGTGTTGACGCCATGTAGGCGACAAGCCTATGGGATGAGAAGTGAAAAAACAACGAAAGTATCACGACTAATGTACGGTTTCATTTTACAAAAGCAACTTCAATTACTAACTTAAATTCGACAGTATCGGTGAATGCTTTGTCCGGATTTTGTAAAGGAGGGAGAAACAACTTCGTCATTCCCGACCCAGTGAACAACGCAGCTTAAAAAAGTGAGCTGGTGAGCAGCAACTTGTTCAATAGTGACTGAAAGCGGATTAACCTCACATGGTATTTACACTGGGAAGACAGTTCATAGCAAGCAACGCCGTCAAACAGGTGATTGAGAGTGATCAAATAGATAGATAGATAGATAGATAGATAGATAGATAGATAGATAGATAGACAGAGATAGATATATAGAGATAGATAGATAGATAGATAGATAGATAGATAGATAGATAGATAGATAGATAGATAGATAGATAGATAGATAGATAGATAGATAGATAGATAGATAGATAGATAGATAGATAGATAGATAGATAGATAGATAGTCCTCAACATGATTGTTATTAAGTTGGAATTTGACGGTAGGGTCGGAGGGATCAAGCAATGGATATATCAACTGAAACGATTAATGATAGCATAGAAATGCAGCAGTGGTGATGACCAAGCATCACATAGGATTGTTCCTAGAGGGAGAACAGTAAAAATCAATAGCGATTCGTAAAACATACGGAAACCAAGCAAAACATAGTGGCAATATACGCTATTATGAGTGCCTAAGCGCCGCTCGTCCCCGTGCTTCATGCGATCAGATTTCCATGAACCGCTATATCGGCCGGTGGCCGAAGGCATGCGTTTGTCTTCTAACCGGGATGTCACCGGTTCGGAGCTGCGTGGGTGTGGGCTGCCTCGCAGTATTCATAGCACGTGGCCGTCACGCGGCAGCGAGGAAAAGTACTGCTTATTCCATTCCATTCCTAACAATCCATTATGCAAAACAAGTATGCAATTTATAGGCAGTCAACATAAGCTCACTGTGTGAATGGATTACGACGCGCAATCTCAATGCGGACCGCGATTCACATTGAAGTGAAACTTGGTCAATGCGATCACTGGGTGTTGCCTACTCGAAAACAATGCACTCCACGGTCGGTGTGGAACTTAGTGGCCGACGTGTCTGTCTTCTATCCAATATGTCATCGGTTCAGATCTGCGTAGGTGCGGGCTGCGTCATAGTCTCCATAACCCGGGGCCGACCAGTGGTAGTCACGCGGCGGGGAAGCAACGTTACGGTATACCGCCGTACTGTTGATGCCATACCATGGAAGGAAGGTATCAGCAGTACGCCGGTACGCAGTACCGACGCTTCGCTGCCGCGCAACCACCACCGGTCGCACGTAGGCTAAGGATACTGCGAGGGGCGCCCAGTCCCCTTCGGAGGCTCGAACCCGTGCCGTCAGATTACAGGCCGGCGTATCCATACCATGCCTAAAAGCCTACTATCTAAAACAAGTGTGCAATGTGCAGGCAGTCAATAGAGGCTCATTGTGGGACTTCGTACAGGACGTTATTCCTAAATCAGGTGGATAACCATGGAGTATAGACCAAAATGTGGCGAGCTCAGCTGAATCGACTCGCAACGTAAAAGTAATAATTAGAGATGAGAAACGAAAAATGAATTCAAGAGATTGCCAGAAACCAACAAACACTAGATCGAAATGATAACGGAATCAAACTGGATATCCCGTGCAAGACTGCCATTGTCTATGCGACCGAACCATGATGAATAACGAGAGAGGTAAGACTGATCATGAGGACCCCGTTCAAGAGAACACGAACCAAAGCGTGGCTCAATTTGAATTCATCACTACACACTTCCTTGAAATTCTGTGATTAAATACTCTACAGCACTGCATAAGTTTAGGGTGATGAGTGAATTTGTTGTATGCTTTTTATTATCGATAATAATGCGTTTAGTTACTAGCGTTTACGAAAATCTCTCCTACGTTTGTCACCTGCATCAACTAGAGTAACATGGAAAATGCAGGGAAACAGTGGGAAATTATGCAATAATTGTAACGTCATTCATGACTAGGAGGATTTTAGTTGCAGTTTTAATGTATTCGTCCCAGCAGCTTACAAGCTACATAGCACAATCCCTATCCAGAAAAGCACCAGCCGCGCGTTTCACCTTATTGGGTTGCGTCAGTGATGCGCATCCGGATGGGGATTGTGCTATATAGCATGTGAGCCACTGGGACGAATACATTAAAATTATATGGTTGCAGCATCCGGTTACGGATTTACCTGTCACTGTGACCTCCATTAGAATAGCCATAGGACGCCTGCGTCTACAGAGGGACCATGAGTAGCTTGCGCTGCACCACCCATAGTTCCATTCACAAACCCCATATCTAGCGTAAACCCGGGAGGCATGCGAATGAAAGTAACGTTTCATCCACCGAGCCGGATCGTACTCCTTCGACATGCACAGCAGCAGCATTCCTGTCTAGCTAATTTAGGAACCATGCGTGCTAGACATACATAATGCGGTGACTGTGGCGTAGCTCATTCCACAGTGAATGCATGGAACCACTCCTTGAGATTAGCAGGGTCACGATGATCGTACACCCCGTTTCTCCAACTTTTTCGCGGAGCAAGTATAATCAAAATATCGGTTTTTCGACAGGTAGACGCTGTCAATCTTCATATTAAGTGCAGTCACACCGGGGATACCAAACAAAAAATACAGAATTCGGAAGATAATAAACGCGCAAAATTGACATGGGAAATGCAGCAGGACAACAGAACTGGGCAAATCCAATAAAGTGGAATATCTTTTATCAAGATAAGGCTCAAGTCGGTGTAGCCCAATAGCGGCGAAAAGGCATGATGTATGTAGTAACAACGTCAGCATGAGGCACATAAATACGATATACTTATACTTCTATACATGTGTATATAATCAAAAAATAGTCTTTCCAAACAAAAGTTTTCAGGGGCACTTACTTAGATTGAAGCCGCTTTATGGGCAATAGTCTCAAAAACCTTGGGAACTACTGTCCTGCACCGTAAGATAAGACAATAGTTCACAAGCTTCATGGACGACAGATGCTTGAAGAGCTATATGGGATTTTGAAAACTGTACAGTAACCTTTACAGTGAGATGAGCAAACGGCAACCTCGGGTGATCGCCAGGCGTGAATGAGGGTCAGGTCAGCCCATCTAAAGTGCCCTGCATCTCCACTGAAAGTATATGCAGAAGCGTGCACCTCTTTGCATCGGCGTAGTATAGGGTAACAGCAAAATCCGACGACCACAACGTCTGATTGCTATAGGTCATTCAGTCAGTCACCTAGTGGAATTTCACTCTAAAGAAAACAGAGAGGACGATTCGTAATCATCACAAATCGAGGCGGTTAAACGCCTGCAATCAAATTGCCGAATTTGGAGAACCAATCAACACCTCAAGTGCCAACCCGAATTACAGGTATTTTGATTAAATGCCAACCGTATTAAAGCCAGTCAACAAACCAGAATGCTTGAATGTATGGTATCACCTCAGCCTGCTCCCTCAGTGGAGCCGCTACCGTAGTGGAGACTAAGCCGGCTTCCATTGATTCGACTTTGGCGCAGCAGCAGTAGAATGCTATTACTTTAAGATTGGAAGGATTAATAATAAAGGCAAACACTTCGATAACTTTCAAACGACGCCCAATGGACTTTTTAACACACTGCTGACTAGACGCCTACCAGAACGTATGTATTATCCCAGTGCACTATTTAGTGTTGAATAGGGAATAAACTATCAGTCAGATAATCGCTTCTACAGTTCGGTGTTGGATAAGCGTCAACAAGAAAATTTAATGCCGAAGCTCAACGGAGATTGAATGACGAAAGTGCGCAAGAAAATTCACCAAGAAGTTGAGTTTTTGCATGCAGCTTTCCTGACTAGGAGATTTGGCACAGTCACGAAGCCAGCGGCTACCTTGTGCTCGATCTATCTCGTCTTGTCTAATGAATATAATTTACTTTTTCTAACCTCTTCTTTAGGTTTACTTTATTTGTGAGCACAGACTTTTGTCTTTGGAAATGCGTAAATGCGAGTATTGGCGAGTGAGTTTGCTGCACTTCGGTGCTCGGATAGCAGTAGAGCAACACGTGAACTAACACATGATCGGGATCGACGCACGTGTTCGAGAACGAGTAGTCATTTAGGAGGAAATCAGGCCACCTGAAGTCCGTCGTTGGCTAGATGCCAGGGGGCGCCGAGTGGTAAATCGGCGCCCACTGTCCGTAGGTTATGCTTTTAAGGAACATGCGATGATCAGTGTACATCAGCAAGAAATGATCATCACTGTTCGCGCATTTTGAATTAAGTGTAAGATTTCTAAGAAGCCAAGACGAACCACACGTGCATCCACATCTCCTGAAATTAGAATGATGTCCAAACTAGCAACATTGCGAAGTACTAAGTCAAGTTCGTGGTAGGAAGCGCCCCTGACGACATTAGGATTGCAGTCGACGGGGCCATAAGCTGCAACTGCCCGCAGGTGGATAAGTGGTTCAGATGTCTGATTTGTAATCCACATGATGCCAGCTCAGGTTTGCGTACGTGTGGTCGATTAAGCCATTTGCCCAGTCCGTAAGCGACTGGTGGCAGTCGTGTGGTGGCGAAGTGTTGGCATGATGTGCCGGTGCATTGCTGCTGACGCCCTGCAAACAAATAGCGTTTAGTATTGATCAGTGCGCTAATTTCAGCTGACCTCTTAGGTTGTTCACGGGAACGCAATCGAATAACGATGACCCAACCCTAGAACGGAGAACAACATCCACTCTAACTTGATCAGTGACTGTTGCATCCGTGTGCGTGTATCCAATAGCGCGACGGCAACCCCTACGACACGTAGGAGATGTCAATACTCAGTGTCCAAAGCGTGTGCAAGGGCGGTCTGTGGGAACAGCAGTTTTAGGAGAAGGTCGAACGCCACAAGGTGATGTGGCCTTATAACGTGTGCTGATGGGAGGGATTCGTTGGGTACTGCGGGTGCATAGTCTCAGATGACAAATCTATGGTGGCATTGCAGCTGCCATCAAGTACGCTAAAGATTACGTAGCGTTAGTAGTGGGAGAAAATGTAGGGTGCAGAAGAGAGGTGATCATTTCGAAACTGTGTGTCAGTTGACTCAGGATGTGAGTGAGAAGTGACGGTGGATTCATGGTTGTACAAAAATGGATGCTACTCCAGTTCCGAGTCACAGCAGACCGAGTTTACATGGCCTTAAAGCAATGGCTCTCATCATATGAGTGCTCTCAAAAGATCACAGGGTAGCACTCGATATGCCAACCGTCATACCACATTAAAATCCAGATCCGTCGCAACGCATTGCAATACGACGGTACATAGTTGGAAAAATCACCATTAAATCAGAGCTAACACCAACAGTGTGTTCACACGGATGGAAGTGCCACCCAACACAACAAAAATGGGCTTTTGTTGGGAGTAAGGAAAGGTTGTGACTCACCAAAATGAAATTTTGAATATTAGAAGGATTCGGTTGATCGGTGATGAGGAATCGAGCAGATTTGAACTCAATTAAAGTGACGTGGGGATGTTGTAACTGACGAGACAATTTGGGTTTGACCGAACCGCGCAAGCGAACAGAGTTGCGCGCTGAACTAGTGGGCGGGACGGGACCAGTAATCGAAGCAGTTGATTGCCTTGGTGCAACCACAGACATGATTGCCTAGCAAGTTGCAGAACTGCTTGTAAAAAATGAGACATTTTAAACAGCACACTAAATGAACAAGGTTTTAACTTATCAAGAACAGACAGAAAGATGCGAATAAGAATGCTAAATGTAAAGTGATCGGATGATATCCACTGTGCTATTGATGTTATCTTTTGTTTTGTGTGGCGAGCGGAACCGCAAAAAGAAACGAGTAGGACCTCAGAAACTGCTGTCGATTGCGTGGTTGCGAATAGTTGCTACAGGGTTCCGGAGCACTAAAACGGCCACTCTATTATGAGAACTTAGATATATAAGCGAATTCTAGGGTATTCAGATGCGCTTTCATTAGATTGGCCTATCGAATCTAAACAGCCTAGAACATACTGAAAAGTAACTCGGGTTCGCTAGTGAGTGCAATTTAACACAGCCGTGGCATCTCGGCAACCGGCAAGATGTTCACCCTTAACACATTGAAAAGATGCTCAATGTGATGGAGGCATAGACGAATGCTATCGAGGGGACCGAGTAGTTAAAAGCTACCCTGTCACCATCAAGCGAGGTGAAGGCCAGGTGCACACACCTGTGTTCGACATATATGTAAACAGTGTGCATGGTATGCCTCTTTGTGTTTGCAATGTATAATCGATCTGATTTAAATCAATTTAACTGTGGTAACCTAGTTTGGTCATTCGCAGTCTCTTAGGAAAGCTCACTCCACGCTGCGCAAGAAACAGCACGGATTTTCAACGAGGACACTAACCATAGTACAGAAACGAATGCCACAAACACAACATCACGAATACGCGTTAGCTGGGAGTGAGAACCGCACAGCAGCTAATGTGCCGCAATGCAAAATAAACAAGATACTAAAAATTAGACAAAAAATATCAAAAATCAAGTAATAAAATGGTAGATATAAAAATTATGCATTTCTAACGAGATTGTAATTGGAGGGGATGGACAAAGAAGCTCAAAACACGAACGTCACTGGGGCCAGCTCGTCGCCACACCAACAAGTGTGTCCAACTAAAGGTGTACATCGTCCTTCGGACCCCAACCCGACAGTCGACATATATATATATATATATATGTATATATATAATGTATATAACGTGTGCCCTATGCTGAGGCTGATGTTGCATTCATGATGCTTCTTCATCGCAGTTGGGCTAAACCAGCTTACACTTAAACTAGGTATTTTAAAGCTGGATAAATTTCATTTTACTTTATTTGGTTTGTTTTGCCTACATGACTAATCTTCTATTAACTGGCCACGTTGCTTACGCTAATTGTGGTTATCGATAACTTCATTGCGTTTGTAGCATTTTTAGTAACCTCTAGACATATTGTACTTATCGCGGATTTGTTGCTAACCAACTTACTTCATAAGCTAATTTAGGGTACAGTTATGTCTGCATAGCCGTATTCTTTAGCATATATATTTTATTTGATAATGTGGTTTGAAGTGATTGGCTGTTGTTTGACTTCCCCCGTGAGGCTGCGCTTGATGTGCATGTTGACAAGGTGCCTACCTGTCTATCACCTACTACCTCGTCCATCTGGCTCCAGGAGACAGTTGGTCGTTGCTGGAGGGGACGGGGTGCACGGTCCCTGTGGCCGTGCTAGGCTCGAAGAGTGGTTCCATGCACTCAGTGTGGAGCGGACTACGGTCCAGCCACCGCCTTGTGTGCTCTTGATTCCCAAAATACAGCGTGCTTATGTTTGCCTGTGAAGGAGTGCGGGCCGGCTCCGTTGATGAAACGTGGCTCCCATCCACATGCCTCCCGGTCTAATTCCTTCGGGTTTACACTGGATATGGGGTGTGTGGATGGAGCTGTGGGTGGTGCAGCGCAAGCCATCCACAGTTCTTCTGTAGGCGCAGGCGTCCTGTGGCTGGCCACAGTGACAGGCAAATCCGAAACTGGATGCCGTCACATTTATATATATATATATATATATATATATATATATATATATATATATATCCACAGACAGCCTAAAGCCTTGCCCTACGCCTCCTCCGACTCTAGCTGGAGGAAAACAGTATGAAGCATAAGAAGATAACAACAAAAGCTTTTTTATTCAGTTTGCCACTCAGTTTTTTGAAATTTTTTCAGTTTGTTTTTTAGGAGGAGAAAGGAGGGACACCGCAACACACCGATGCACACGTCCGCCACTGGTATCGATCTTGAGCCATGGCTTTCAAGATCTTCAAACAGCAAGTATCCGCATCTCTCGGACCCTAACCTGGTAGTCGACAACAACCGGCCGATGCCAATTGTTTCGTCAGCAATTCCTGCGGCTTCTCCAAGTTGCAGGCTGTCCACCAGACCGTCTCTTCCAGCCCAGTTCAGCAAATGTAAACAACGCACGACGCGGGTAACGCTGGACAGGCATGTGCAATACGTATCCCAGCCACCGCAGTTGATGCAATGAGACGAACTCCTCGAGCGAGTGGCTTTTTCGTCCCAAAACACGTTGTCTAACTTCCAGATTGCTTACGTAGTGCCGCCACCACACACGGGCAATGAACCGCAGACAGCGGTGCTCGAAGACGGATAGCCTGCGCAAGTCATCTTTACGAATGGGCCAGGTCTCGCATCCGTACAACAGTACAGCACGAACAGTTGCACAATAGACCCGCCCTTTGATGGAGAGACGAATGTCGTGGCGACGCCACAAGTGCCTCAGCCTAGAAAAAGCGAGGCGTACTCTCGAGATGCGCATCGAAATCTCGTCTCCAACAGCCCGCCAGCAGTGATGCAACTTCCCAAGTAGACAAAGCTCTCCACAACCTCTAGTGTCTCACCACCAAGAGTGAGTGCAGGCAGAGGCACCTGCCAGTCTTGAAAGAGAGCCTTGCATTTGGATGGCGAAAAGTACATACCATACTTTGATGCTTCAATCGCCAAGCGGTTTAGTGCAAGTTGGACGACGTGTGGATCGTCACCCAGCAAGACGATATCATCAGCATAATCCAAATCAACAACTCGACTACCTGGGAGGAGCTCAACGCCAGCGTTCAACGAATCGCCCAGAGCGTTCTTTAGGACATCCTCAATGGCAAAGTTGAATAGGAACGGAGAGATAGGGTATCCTTGTCGAACTCCACTGGAGACCACAAAGGAAGGCGAAAGCTTGCCATAAGTCTTAACCCTGCCCGAGGTCAGAGAAAGTGTAGTATGGAGACGAACTTCTCGGGGACGCCATTCCTCAGTAGGCAGTGCCACAGTACTGTCCGATCGACAGAATCGAAGGCTGCACGGATATCCAAGAACACAGCAATCGTTGGCCTCTGATACACATGGCGGAGCTCGAGGATCTGGCGGAGTGTGAAGATTTGATCGATGCAGCCGCGACCAGGGCGAAACCCAGCTTGTTCTTCTCGCTGCAACGATTCGCGCGTTGGGGATAGCCTGCGAAGTATGATGGACACCAGCAGCTTGCAAACGACGGGGACTAAGCTTATGCCTCTGTAGTTGGAGCAGATTGTGCGCAGGCCCTTTTTGAAGATGGGGACGACTATCGATTCACCCCAAGATGATGGAACTTCCTCTTTCGACCAAACTTTCGAGAACAAAGCAGTGAGTTCTCGAACCAGCGAAGCGCCACCATCTTTAAATAGAGCTGGAGGAAGACCATCAGGGCCGGGGCTTTATAACGCTTCATGTGCCGGAGCTCCTGCTCGATTTCCTGGTAAGAGGGAGGATCTGTGGGGTAGACCACTCGGCCCCAGCGCGAGCGCCAGAGGTAGCAGATGGAGCTGGGGGCCAACAAAACTGCGAGCCAAAATGTTCGGCCCATCGCTCCAACCGTCGTTGAAGATTGGTGATTAAGGTGCCATCCTCTTCGCATATTGTTTCACTTATACCAGATCGAACACCTTCGGTGACTCGAATGAGATGGAAAGTTTTCTGGTATTACCAGAGAGACTAGCAAGCTCCATCTCCCTAGCACGTTCACACCACCAAGCTTCGCGGTCCATTTGCAGACTCCTGCGCAACTCTCGACCCAGGGATTGGCGTTCTTCACTGTGTCTGGAATCCGACGGGATCAAGCGGCGTTTGTCCATCAGCGACAAGGAGACGGCGGAAATCCAATGCTTCGGTGGGTGACGGGCAACTCCACAAGTGTCGATACTGGCGGAAACTAAGGCATCTTTGATCTGCGCCCACTGCGAATCGAGATCACCGTCAATAGTTGAGCCAAGCAAGGTTGACAGTGAGGCTTGGTACCTGGTTAAAATCGCAGGGTTTTGTAGATTTGCGACGTCCGGTCGGTAGTGAGCGCGCTTGGGTGATCCTCCGAAACGCATGCAAATCTTAGCACGAACCAATGCGTGATCGGAGTCTAGATAAGTTGACCAGTACGATCGGCAGTCCGTTACGCTTCCGCGCCATCTGTAGCTGATTGCTATGTGGTCAAGCTGGGAGCACTCTTGCGTTTGTGAGGGCGGGCGCCAGTAGCAGTGTGTCTCCTCGAGTGCCGAAAACTAGTGCTCGAAAGAAACAAGCGATGATCAGAGCAAAGAGCAAGCAGTCTGTCTCCATTGTCTGATCGACTGCCACCGAGGCCAAAACTACCCCCAAGATGGTGCTCGCTTGGTGGAAGGCGGCCCACCCGTGCGTTAAAGTCCCCGGCAAGAATGACTATATCAGTCCTTTTGGAGGAACGCAGAAGTTCATGTAGTTGCTGGTAAAAGCTATCCTTGACTGCATTCGGGCTGCAGTCTGTAGGGGCGTAGGCGGAGACGACAAACAAGGCACGCTTAACGTCTCGACGCCTGCTTACATTACATGAACCTCGTAGTCTGACTGCACATAGCCGACTGTTGACTGGGATCCAGTCAAGCAGAGCTGATTCAGCCCTGGCACTCAGTGCAACCCAAACACCAGCTTGGCCAGAGGCGGCAGCTTCTGAGTCTCCGGAAAGCTGCAAGTGGTATTTGGCGTCAGGGTTTACCGGAGAGGCCATTCTGATGACGGCGCTAGAGTCTTGTAATCTGGTCTCTGAAAGGCAACAGATGTCTAC